GGGTGGGGTTGTGAGAGAACCTGAGATATTGGAGAACTTCAAATTTGGGCGGCACATCTGTGGGAAGTGGACACAACTTAATAGATCAGGAGCCTGGTAGTGCAGATCAGAGATAATCCTTCCCTGGAGTGGTGCAACTTTGAGCTGCATAACAAGAGCTTAAAAACACTTTAAGGTGTTAATGTGTGGACAACCCAGGGGTTAGGAGCTCCAGGAGCTGCTCAGAATTACAGTGTAACAAGGCCCCAAGGAACAGCATTCAACTACTTTAACCATGACCTCCATTTTTATTTCCTGAAGTCCCCTGCCTCATAATAATGTACTTCCCAATACCTCCAAAAAGATAAGGTAGGGGTACAAGAGACAACAGAACACTGCACAGCAGTATCACAGCTATTGGGGATGGGGGTGAACAGGGCAACAGCCCCAGGCACTGACTCTGAGTGCAGCCCTACACCTAACAGCATATCTGGAGGAAGGAGTGAAAAATGGCAAACAGAGCATCAGTAGCAGCTCCCAGGAAGTACCCAAACCAATGCTGCTATAGCAGTGGCACTGACAGCAGTATCAGAGAGCCTAAGCAGGTAAGACTTCCCTTCCCCTCACCCCACCAGTCTACACTGGTTGGCCAGCCTCCCCTGCCCAGGTGCTGAATGAGCTTGCAACACCTCTGCTACACACAGCACTGATTCATCGCTAAACAGCTCCATTCTTTGCACTGAAATAGACAGTGGAAAAATCTTGCGTGTCCATAAATACCCGAGGGCTGAATTAAAGTTGTACAGCCAAGGATCAAGGCATTCAGGTTGGTATTAGTGAAGTGTAATAGTTTTAAATTTGGAGTTTTAGACAGTGGACTACCCTAACTGATTCATAAACATTATGATTATTACAAAAAATCTATACTTCACTAGAAAGAAAGAAAAAAAGCGAAAGAGAAGATTTGAGACATGACTGCATGTGGCTAGCCATTCCACTTCTGTTACAGCTTTTTTTCCCCAAATGAAACAAAACATTTTGACCAGTGTACCATAAAGTACTTTGTGGCAACTTTTAGCCTGAAATCATGACATGATTTAAATAGACTTTATGAAGTACTGCCACAAACACCTTTAGCCTTTTATGTGCAAATCGTTGGTTTAAGGAAACCCTTTTCAAAAGGGTTCAGTGTTGCCCTAGCTCCTATTGACTTGATACAAGAGAAGTTAGGTCAATGCTGAGCGCTTCTGAGAATCACACCCATAAGACATATTTGCACAGAAGTTAACAGAAAGGCAGAAATTGGACATGGCAGTTTTTACCAACATAAAAATAGATCAAATGCATAATGCCATACAAATCTATACTGGTCCAGTCCTCCACACACTTAACAACTTACCTTTTATAGACCTGACTTCAGTTTAGGTATACAAAGATAAATATGCATTCTACCCTTTGCAGGTTTGGGTATTGTAATCAATAGCAAAACCAGGGGTGGCCAATTTAGAAAGAGCAAAAAATGGTGATAACCACTGGTCTGGCCACAACTGGTGCCCCAACTGCTACCACTGCCCAGATCACAGAAATTGCTTGTTATACCTCTGATTATAACAGTCACAAGTCCTTATTATTATGTGTGATGAAGTGATATTACAGCTGTGATGGCCTGGGAAATATACAAGAGGCAAGAGTTCTTGTGGGTGGTCTTTTATTAGACCAACTGCTTGGTTGGAATAGATTTAAACAAGCTTCCAGATATCACAATATCAAGGAAGGCTATCTATCCCAACTATGCTGCTGGTCCAATAAAAGAGATCACTTACAAAAATTCTTGCCTCTTGCATATTAATATGGACATTTATCACAGGAGCCAGAGGAGTATGGGCACTTCCATTTTAAAGAAGTAAGATTTTTGTTTACTACGTATTCTAACAAATTCTCTTTTTAACCTCATATAAACTTTTCAGTTAAAAAATGTTTCTGTTCCTTTATAGAGGGGGGAAAAACCTACCTCAAACCTATTTTTAAGCACAGAGAAGGGAAATACAGCCTTATTCATATAAAATGTCTAAAAATATGCATTTTTTCTTGAAAAAATTAAGGACAATTAACCAGATCATATTTAGAACTCAATCCCAAGTGAACACAATCCCAAGTTAATATTAACTTGTAGAAAGATAACTGTATTTTTATATCCTTGTAATACTGATAGCCTTACAATACATTATGGAAAAAGCATTACCTATAAAAGTAATTGCATCAGAATTAATGCATTAAAATAGTACTGCTTGCTAGCAGCACCTATTGCCTGAATGCTGTACCTTAAAATAGAATGTTTTAAAAAAAACCCTTCATATACAGGTTTTCCTCACTTTATGCTGTACATGCATTCCTAGAAAACGGTGCATCATAACTCGAATTTGCATAAAGGAAACCCACTTACAGTGTAACAAATAGGGATATGTTCCAAGACCTCAACTGTACTGACCTCCAGACCCATTTCTACCACTTTTACAAGACAATTTTGGTACTTACCAACAGCTGACAGTACACACAAGCATCCAGCACTATCATAATGGGGATGGCAACTACAAAAACATGTCACAGACAATAAGTGAGGAGCACAGATCCACACTATGTTTTGGTGCGCATCACTCCCACAATGCACCGCACAAAGCAGCTGACTGCAGGCTTCCACTACACCTATCACATAAGAGTAAATTTACCTCACATATAACAAACTTTTGGTATAAAAAGGGTCATCGCATAAAAGCAAATTTGCACAAACAAAACCCGCATAAAGCGAGGGAAACCTGTACCATTCAATTTATAATACATGGCTGAGACTGCAGAAAGGTCCATTCAACATAACAAACAATATCAGTAGGATGAGAAGGAGAAAAAGTCTAGGAGGAATATGTTTCATGACATGGAGTTGAAGGGAAGGAGGAAAAGGAAAAAAACAATTCCTCACACCTCAGCTATACCACATAGGACAGGGAGCAGCAATTGGCTAAGTGTTCTAAAAGAGTAGACCTTTAATTTCCCAGCTACTCCTTTCCTTCAAAGAAATGTAAGGTCATAACTAAATAAAAAGAAAAGAAAAACCGCCTCCAAAAATATTTACGAGTAACAAATACTGTATTTACTCAAATACAAGATGGTTTGTTTCCCCAATCAGCATAGGGAAAGCACCCCTCGTCTTACATTCACATACAAGGAAACCTCATTAAATACATTGTGTATCACTGAACTACTGCCAGAAGTAGCATGTGTTCAGTAACGGAAGCCAACTATGAAGCTGATTAAAAGCAGCCAACACTGAGTAGGACTATAAAACACATGACCCATATTGGGCAAACATACTGACAGAAAGCTACCACAGAGATAGGTTAATGCACCCATCTGAATAAGATATATGATAGTGCCCATTGTGCACAGTCCTCAAGTCACAGCAAGCTACTACATCGAATACATTTCAATTTCCTCTTCACTCCCACAGCTGAGCTGAAACTTTCTTTCCTATTTCCAAAGATTTCTGCTTTTCCAACAGCCTTAAATATCTGCAAACATCACCAAACAGAGCCCCCAACATTTCACCAAAAATCCCACTGTTGTCCCCTCTCTCTGTCTATAATTAGTGTAGCCCCACCCTTCATGAGGTGAAACCAGACTAGGTTTCCCTGTGCCTCGTCTGCATATAAATTTTTGAAAGATTCCAGGACTTGTGACAAGAACACCTGGTCCCAGTCATGAGTGGGGGGCAAATTAGCACCTTTATGGGTGCTTTATGGAGGGGTACCTGGAGTAGACACAGGCACACATACTGAGCAATGCTGATCTGTGGGGTCACGACTTGAAACACCGTTGACTCTGCTGGGGCCCAGGCCAATGAGCTATTTGGTATATCATGGCCTTTTTGGTTTTCGACAAACATCATACATAGTTTGCATTATGCTAATATAATAAAATCTTAAGTCTGTCTGTCTGCCAGCCCGTAACACTTTATTCGTGCTCTGATTGGCTGACAAACAGACAATCAGAGTGCGAACAAGCATTTGAACAGGAGCTGGCAGCCGGTGGAGCACTACCATGATGGTGAGGACGCAAGGGACAGAGGGGGGTGGGCAAGGCCAGCACAGGTGGCCATGCCCTGCTCCCTGCAGGTCGCAACAATAAAGTGGAGCTGGCCTTGCCCCCCCTTTACTCCTTGCAGGTGACAGCAGCAGTGGTGCAGGCAGGAGCAGGGTCCAGACACCATGGGGGGGCGCGAGGCAAAGGCTCTGGCCTGGGCCTGCCCCTCCCCCCTTGTCATCAGCGCCTGCAGGGCCTGACGCAGGAAGATGCAGCGGCAGTTGGGGGGAGCAGTGGGCCCAATGCGGCTTGGGGGAATTGTGGGCATGCCACAGTGGCACGAGGACGGAAGCAGTGGGCCTGGGCCCCATGCAGGTGGGGGGGAAGGAGGACTGAGCCCGAGCCATGGGAAAAGCTGGCCCACTGTCACAGGGGGAGCAGTGGGCCTGGGCTGGCTTAGCAGTGGGGGGGGGAATGGGAGGAGCAGGCTCGGAACTGATGGGGGGGATGGGGGGGGAGGAGTGGGTCCAGGTCGGAGGAGGGGGGTAATAGGCTTGCTCCTCCCCTCCCGCTGTACCCCCCCCACTGCCACAGCAGCCCGACTTCCCCCCCGCTCAGGCTCAGACTTCCTCCCCACCTTGGGCCTGGGTCCACTCCTCCCCTACCCCTCCATCAGCTCTGAGTCTGCTCCTCCCATTCCCCTACCGCG